GATGTTGGCAGAAGTCTGAGATGTGGCGTTGAAGTTTGTATCGGGAAGGATGATGTATGGGCACTACACGCTTGTTGCTTGACACAAGATAGTTTGTTAGCATCTTCTAGTAAAAACCAACAAGCAGGCGATCGTACTTGATATGAGCGTCTCCCAGTCCGTTCTGTCAGCTCCTTCCTCGATAAAAGTAATGAGTGCATAGTAGCCCCCGACGCTAGGTCGCGAGGATGTCGTTGACGTCTCTCGTAGGTCTGTCGCCGCATAGAGGTCTGTAAAAGAACGCTTTGGGGCTGACTCGGTGGACCTGGGTCACCAGAGCTCTGGAAGTCTGGCCTGACTTGAGATGACCGATGCGTTTGAAACTCGCGTATATATTCACTTTCCATTACCCCACATTGAGGCTTCGCTCAACCACGACGCTGGATCACCGCATCACTTTCTCCAATCTTCTTCAGAGTCCTTCAAACCTATATCCCGACGACATCTTCATTGCGCTATTACCTGCAACAAGCTCCGCGATGCGTCCTCAAAATACCAAGGACGAAGACAACCCGCCGCGTGCTTCGCGCGTGCCTTCAAGCAGCCGACACGAGCCCGAAAACTTGCTTGAAGAGGGCCGCGAGGCGACCAGCGGGTATGGAGGCGACGAAGAAAGCGAGGGCGACATGACCGCCGCTCCAGAACCTGTACTCAGGTATCGCCGACGAGTGGACGGTCCACCAACGCCGCTCCGAGCACCTCGAGTGCAAACACCTTCTCGTCCACAAGATCCGCAAACACCCCCACGCGGTACATCTCGAGGCCTCGAAAGCGACTTGGCTCGGGCCGGCGAAGTGTTGCGAGATCAGACCAGGAACGAGTACCACAGGCGCCGTTCCGACGCTCAAGAGAACCATGCGGCGCACAGGAATACAGAGACGTCATCCGCGGTCGCTCAGGCTCAAGTTGGAGTCGGCAACAGGTTTGGGGCTGGTGGCCAAATTCCGCCTCGAGGTCCATTCACACCAGTGCTGCGTAGAAACGCTGTTCAGCAGCTGGGCATTCCCCCATCAAACCCTTTTGGTTACGGTATCGGCTCCTTTCCGCAACTGCCTCCTCAGACGACGCAGACGATTGGTGACAACTCTGACCCTGGCGAATTTGGGTCTTCGATGGCGGCCATGACTCCCTTCCACCGGCAAGCGAATCAGGCAGCTTTCGAGCGCCAGGTTGCGCGCCAGGAGGCTTCGCCTGAGCCGGATCTCCCTCATCCTCGCCGAAGGCCTGCTGGCCCACATCCTGCGCATTTCCAGACCCCAGCCCGACCTTCTCCCCATCAGCAGCCAGGTCAACAGTCTACAAGATCGCCCGCGCAACCGTCGTCAAGGTCACAAGACCCGGAAGGATCGACAGGGTCCCCTTCGCGGCGAAGGCTGGAGAACATCGAAGATCAAGACGGCGAGAACAAGAAGTAGGGAAGGCAGCCAGGAGATTATGGGGAGCCAATAGTCGCGTAGCTTGGTCACGAACTGTAAGGGCGACGCGGACAACGGGTTGGGATGTTATTGACGCTGAAGCTTAGCTTCAGGTAGGGAAGACATTGTGCCACCCATGTAGCAATAATAGTACCAGAAACGTATGTGGCAGACACAGATAGCCTCGATAACATGGATAGTATGTGAGTTCGGATGTGTAGCCTGCTACGGGCACTTGCGACGTCCACAGATATCGCTGTACTGTGATGTGACTCTCAACGTGACTGGTTATTGACGACATTGCTGTGAGTCGATAGAAGTATGCCATGACCGATGGATCGAGAAGTCTGCTAAAGTCAGCCCATCTGATTGTGAATCAAACATTTAACGCGATTGATGTGGCAAATGCCGTGCCCCTCCGCCCCTGACGACTCTCCGGGGAGCACCGACCTTCTTTGACAATCCTGAGATTCTGAGCGCGTACGTGCCTTGCCCTCGATAGGACTGACCATCAACACGATCATCTGAGGACCCCGCGACATTGCATAGGTCACCCTTACTGCTTCTGCCCCGTGGTCGACATCCGTGGCGGACCACCAAAGAACTCGCATCGCGAATACTATCGCTCTATCGCACCACGAGCCTTGAGCTTACTGTCGCATCGCATTCCACGTTCCTTGAGCTTCGTAGCCCACCGAGAACGTGAGCTGCAGCCGCGCGAGCCTGCCGCACCGAACAAACCTCATTCGCACCACATCGCAGCGGCTGACTCGACATCGTCGTCAAGTCATCGAATGCCACACGTATGCGTAGTAATGAACACGCGATGAAGATGAGGCTGGAAGAAGAACAAAGACGCGCAGAGGGATGGTGACGTTGGCGCGACCGCCGAGCCCGAGCCATCTCCGCAAGCATCCTCGGCGGCCAGCGGGGCCGCTTCCTTCGCCAGACCACGCCTCCTTCTTCGACACCTCCTCACCCCTGGACCGACTACGCGACACGCATCAACAGAGATACACGGAAGTGATGCGCGTGAAACGCTGTCCTCTCTGGCGACTTCATACAGCGAGCTGACGGTGATGGCTTCCGCAGCGGACTAGCGACGCGCTCGCGCATGCGCACGGCACTAGTCTTCGCTGAGCCATACATGACTCTAAACCATAACGACTTCGTCTTCCTGGATAGCTCTTGTCACGGCAGCGAATCAGGCTCAGATGGACCATATTTGATGAGTGGCTTCTCGCGTCCTTGAGACGCGTCACATCCCATCCTTACTCCCGTGGCCTCGCAATTCACAACAGCAATTCTCGGCAAACGCTGCAGCACCAGGCAGGCGCGCTATTGTCGAAAATTGTCTCTCAGGACGCCAGACCACCGTGGCATAGAAAGAGCTTGGATCTGGGGTTTCACAGTCCCGCGGGATTCATACTCTTCGAAAAGCATCTCTGACGTCTTCGTAATCACGCCCGATGGACGAAGCACCGCATACTCGCACGTGGCTCGCCATCGCCAGAGACCCTTCGTCATAAACCTGTTCAAAGGGGTGTGACTTGGGTATTTGTAGACTATAGGGCTCTGCACCTTCTGGACACCCACCTCGCTACGGAAGACCTGGACACTACCCTCATGAGCTGCCTTGCGAAGACTTTCGGGATGACCATGCATACACGCTGGCGAATCCACATTTCGAACGGCTTGGTCCGTCTATCGAATTGTATCATGAGGATGAAGAGGCTGTAATGCCGTCTTCTCGGACTTTTGAAACACCCCACTTCACTATCGCAAGCGATGTTCTCTTGGACAGCAACATCAGGTCTCAAGATCGCATAAAAGGGGTCATATAGAGATACACCTGTTCAGCTTGCCAAAGATGTCCACCGACGGGCCCTCAGTAGAGATTGCTCTGTTGCAGCTGATTTACACCGTCACGGTCTCGACTGGCATGCTTCCCAGTAGACGGCCATGGAGGCCATTCTACCTCAGCTCATTAGAGTTGAGACTATGACGTCATCACAGTCCAGCTCGCTTGGTTATGGACAAACTTCGCTGTCGGTCTTTGTTCACTACGACGAGTGGTATCGATCAGAGACGCTTGCGATGTATGGCACATAACGGGTGTCGCATGGTCTATTCGGTTCCGCTACCAAATCGCGGGGAGCAAGGAGGCCATTGCCATGTCTTTCCAGGAAGATACCATGCAGCTTCAGAAAGCCTAATTGCATTGCGCATCGGTATGACCAACCCAAGCTCCTGACGGCGCCCTACTCTGAGCACTAGCTGGACGTTTCCCGGCGCCTGGAGACCCGTCGTCTCATGTGTCAGAGATGATCGATTTGCACTTGGCACGCGCATTTGGTCTACTATTCTCCCAGAATCCCAGCATGTTCCAGGATCTTATGAGGGCGCCCTAGCCCTCTCGTTCCGTAGGCTCTTGACCTTCAGCCTTGCTTATTTGCAGGGGGATGAGGCCAGGCCTCTTGAGCGCGCCAGCGTGTCTGCACTCAATCGAAGAAGCGCCCCTTCGACGGGTATTCGGAAGCCCCAACGCGGGTTTCCCATAGACAATGTCGATGCGACGATGCTTCCCCTTTGATGCCCTCCGTGCATCCTTGAAGTTTGGTCTAGCATTCGATCCGCACATGGGCTACCGGGCAACATGTTCAGCGACAATGGGGGGCTCGCTGTACCGTCATCGAACACAAAGGGCTCGCCCGTCTAGACCTCCTGTTTCGTCGGGGTCGTCGTGTTCTGGGGGTCCGCCGGACCGAGCAGGGCTGCCGTGATGCGGGAGAGGCTGATTGAGGTTGAGATCCCGAACACGTTGGATGAGCGAGTCGTCGATGCCGCAAGCGACTGTCGGGGCAGCCTGATGGCTTCCGCAGCCTGGTCTCTGCTAGGGCGCCTTGTCAGTGGTGTGCATCCAGGGGTCCAACGGGAGCTGCGTCCTCAACTTGTACAGCTTAACGACGAGCTGACATGCAGTCGCTACGCCTGCGAAATCCCTAGGATGACCGGCAGCTTCTGTCCTTGTTCGCTATCGGATGTGCGTGAGCTTGTCAACGTCAGTCGCGTCGGGGCTTGCGGAGGTGGTGGTGCACTACCGGGACCTGGAGGAGGCCAGCATGGGGATGCTTGGCCGTGCGATGGGCTTGCTTGAGGGTGTTAAAGAGATGTATAAGCATTACCAGAGGCTTCTCGTCGTTGGTATCAAGCCGCTGCCGTCTTGCGAGCGGTACTGGTGCTTCTTTTCGTTGACTTGGAAGTCGGTGAAGGGACAGAGGACGCTGAGGCTAAGCGAGAGCTCCGACTCCTCCTGCCTATATCAGCTCCCCCACCCACTCCAGCGACCCGATCTCTCGCTCTCTGAACGTCGCGACTGAAATTTATAACGCGAAACTATACCGTCTCGCTCTCATATCTCCCCCGCACTCCGATACAATAACGGCCGCCGACAACAGCAAATCTCTCAAGACCAAGCGCGCTACTCCAATCGTCAACGTGGAGCACGGCTACAGCTACGACTACGACGATAGCGACGCCGACATCATGCAGGACGCGCAAATGGGCGATGGCGGCGACGGACACGGCTTGGATGCATCCTCCGCCAGCCTTTGTACGTATACCAAACCCTTTTTTCTACGCCCCCAGAAGGCACAGATTTCTGACTAGAGTGATTCAGTTCCGAAGGCATGGTCTGCGTGGTTCGAGAAAGAATGCGAGTTCAAGAAGGAGCGACACATGCATGAAAGCAACAGCAACTTCGCGGCAGCAAAACGCGTTCAGCGGGAGATCAACAAGCATATCTTCTACGACTTACCCAGTTTCGAGCTTCTCCGCACTCCTAGCCAAGATGCGCCGCCAACGTCCCTCAATCTCGTCGTCACTCTGCCTCTGAGCCCCTTCTCCGACAACAGTTCCATAGGAAAAGGCGGGAAAGCTGTAGACGGCGACAACTGGGCTCCTCTTCGTTGGCCATTACCACCCCCCGAATCTGGACTACAACCTGCTCGACTTTGATTTGACCATTCTGGAGTTGGCGACGGTAAGTTTCCATGTTTCTCTTCTGTTATCCTGATCCACTCTTACTGATCCGTGAGCATGTAGTACATTCCACTGGCATACCTGTGGCAAGGTTTCCTCGCTCGTTTCCGGGTCTGCACAACCTGGATCGTCTTTGCCAAGATGGTGGTAAGGAATCTCACACTTTCAGCAAGAAAACAGTATACTGACTAGACTAGTTTTGGGCGAGAGGCCTTGATAATGGCCCCGACCTGAAAAAGAAGCTCCTAAGCCTCAGTAGTACGATGGCTGCAGAGCCTACCGATGCCGACCCTACCAGTGCTGATAAATCCGCTTCCTCCTGGACTCATGGGGACAAGTTCAACTTCGAGGCCACACCGACTCTGGTTCCAGATATAGCTCTAGTCCGACTTGGCCGCGGTGTTACCCGTCACCCTCAAGGTCAACACCGTGGTCGTCTCACCATCGCCATCCAACATGCAGAGTTGCATGGACATCAGGACGTCATGCTCAGCCAGGTCAAACAGTACATTCAGTGGTTCAAACTGAATGTACCTGCACCTCTCGCTGCGGGTGACGACCTGGCGGCTGTCAACGACTTCGAGGACATGTATGCGGCGGAACCGCACTAAGGGCCCCGCAGGCTAGATGGGCATATCTCTTGGGGTCTATATAGTTCTTGAGGGCGATGTGAGGGCACAGAAGGTACGCCTTACTGAAGACACGTATTTTGGGGGTCACATCGTCACGGCCGTCAGAGCATTGCCGGCGTCACTTGGTATCTTGGTGTCAACGAAAGGAGGTGCAGTTGGGTTCGTATTCATGGACAAGGTGTTTAAGCTTCAGGATATCAACGAGCTGAGCCTCGTGGTCAGCAATAGCATGTGCAACGGCGTTCTATACCCCCTTTCCCGTCATGGTCGTAGTCAGTGCACAGAATGGGAAAGTTTATTTGAAATGACATCTCGATCTTCTCGCGACCACCTCGGGACTACTCGTGTGGAAGTCAGCTTACTTTGACACTAATGAACGTGGTCGACAGGATAGCACGGGCGGCCGGAGAAGATCCCGAGCGAAGAAGAATAGAAGCCGGTGGTGAAAGTGGAATCACCGGTGGTGGTCACGGTAGTTGAATGTGGAGGCGCGTCATCCATTTTGGGTTAGCGTGTATTTCTCTTCCTTCTTTCACTGAACAGCGAACATGACGCGGCAACGCATTGCAAACAATCTTCTCCACTTCAGTCCATTATACCTACACACCATCTTCCTGATATGAGTTCAGGTATCGTTCTTCATTACTGTAGTGGCATTGCGCTCCTGCCTCATGACCTTAAAAAGCAGGCTGCAAGTAGCGCTGACCTCATAGCATGAGCCTATTGATATGGAAGGCCCTATGGCTTTCGCTCATTTTAGTTTCCAGTAGTGCCCTTATACCTCGGCAGGCTTTACGCATCATACTCATCAAAAAAAGCTAGATAAGCGTCTGTTGTAGCTGTGCCGCACAACGCCAACTGCGGCGCAGCAACCACGCCGCATTCGCGTTAAGATGCGCACGTATATCTGGCGAGGCAGTCTTGACGCGTTGCATGCACACAGTACGGCTCTTGCTCACGAACACGGTAGATTCTCCCGCAACCAACGACTTGTGACAGCGCTCAGTCATACTCGTCTTTGGGAACGATGAGTCTGGTCGCATTTCACAGCAAGTCAGTCAAGGAATCTTCATCTCCATCTCGCATGAACTGCATCAATACAGAGATAAGCTTCACGGAGGATTGCAGGATCCCGGGGAAGTACTAACGGTGCTGTGCCGCACGCAATGCCGGCGATAAACCAACAATTATCATGCACAAACCGACCAGCTCGCGTAGATATATCCACATGTCGTCAACTTCCCGTCACTTGACAGGTCACTCGAAGAAACTAGGAATGAAAGTTTGCCTCCAACTGCAGACAACATGCGTACTATGTATGCCACTATCCACGTTGGCAGCTCAACCAACACCACGCGGTCCGAAGTCAAGTGCTGACAGCACGACTTCACCCGGTGGATTCTCCATCGGCGCAATCGCGGGACGACATGTAACGAAACTCGCTCCTCCCATCCTCCGCATGAACATGGGAAATAGCCAACTATTAACAACATACGCGGCGCGGGAGGTGACGAGCGATCCATCGTTTGTTTCCGACAGACGTGCGACGTTGAGACCGTTTCAAGGAGTGCGAGCAGGGGGGGGTCATCGCAAAAACAAACGCAGCCAGACCCAACAAACAGCCTTGCCTACGCTCATTTTTTCGCAGGAACAACAGGTTCGCTGACTCTTTGGGAGCGCGGGCCTCAGGCTTTCTGGCAATGTTTGGTCTAGCCTTTCCGCATGAAGACGGCGTGGTTTCAGACCTTCCTGCAGCGAGCTGCGCCTTACGCCGCATTTGCTGCGCGCTGTTGGTTGGTCTTGCGCGACGCGGATTGCTGTGGTTGGACAAGAGCCGCGAAAATCCAACAATGGAAAACACAAATCGTCGCCCTGTGAAACTGCGGATAAAGTTACGCTTTGCTGCAAATGTCCCGTTTTGCGGCAGTGACAGACCGGGAATACTTTTGGTGGCGGACATTCGGTGCCCCGCGCTGCGCTGCGTCTGCGTGGTGCCCCTGGTCATCATCTTACGGCGTCGGACCCTTGGCGTGGAGATACCTTGCAGTGCCTTCCCCCCCTGGGTAACGTATGATTGCGGTCACGGCAGGATGATGGATCGGCATAAACATATACGCCTCTGCGTCCCCTTGGTGCCATTTTCTTGTCATACAAACATTGTTTCTCTCATATAACGGCTTTATTCGCTTCTTAACTGATATCCATTAACCACCGGTCGCGATCGCATATAATCATTCACACGGTTCCTTTCTCTCTTGAATCGAGACTACCATCTCCAACACACACACACGTCTTGCAACAACCGTTTTTCCTCCGTCAAAAATGTCCTACCCACCACTCTCGCCTAGCGGCCTCCCCAGCTCCCCACGAGCAAACCGCCAGATGCAAATGCTTTCTCCACTCGACACATCCTTCTCGGCCAACTCATCGCAAACAAACTCGCCTTACTCCAGCACTTCGGAAAAGGATCCGCGCAAACCTCGCGATATCTTCGCCGACGCTACGATTCCTCTCAGCCCGGCATCGACAACAGCCTCGCACTCCAAAGAGAACCCCTACGAGGGTCTCGAGCCACGGAAGCGCAGCGGCCTCGCACGTCTGTTCTGCTGTCTTGGCCGTGAAGAGCGTGCACGGCGCCGTGTGAACAGGAGCTTGGAGTTTGAGAAGGTTGGCGAGCAGTGCCACTGGTCTGAGTACTAAGCCATGGCATCATCGATAACACATTCGATGGCGTCCATGCTGTACTGCAAGAGGTTGTCCAAAGTCCCATCGGACACCGATTCGTGACATGAAACGCGACAGCACGGAAGACCACCCCACCGAATCGTCAAACATCTGACAGCCCCGGACGCACACACACCGAGCGAACAATCCCCCGGTCGGTGTCCGAAAGTCCGTACTTTCCTGCGATGCGATGCGAAAGTCTAATCGCATTGCTCAAACATCTTTCCGATACAACGTGTCGAATCTTATACCCCATCGTCACTGCGACGTTTCTTATGTTCATATTTACCATATACTTCTCGGACTGGAGTCTTTCCGGTTTCTTGCGCTTGGGGCAATGCTGGTGTCTGGATAGACGAGCATTTGCAGGGTTTCTTTGGCAAGCGTTGGTGTTGGGGTTGTTCTGCTCTGCATCGCTCTTAGGCAGAGAGATCAACGTATCTTCGATATAGGAAAAGACAGAAAGAGATGTCACTGTCGAAGACTAAAATGAAAATATGTCATTACCATCATGCCACATCCCTCCTGAGCTCACCTCTCACTTCCCCCCACCCCTTCAAGAAACCCCTCAAACTGCAATACCTCCCTCCCGTCACCTACTCCCTACCACCCCCATCGCGTGATTACACAATACCATCCTTCCCGCCGCATTCATGCTCCCTCTATCCATCAGCCCCGTATCCTTAATCTTATACATCCTCTCCAGCAACGCATCCACCTCAACAATAATATCATTCATAATTCTTTTTGTCGGAGAATCGTGTACGGAATACCGGATTTCATGACCCATTCCTTGCTGTGCCGCTTACAATCGTGGTTCAACATTACCTAGGTATGCTCAACTGGCTGTTCGGCACGCTGTGTCATCAACAACTTAGGGTGAGCTGTGCAGCTATTGACAATGTCGTGCCCTTCATGGACTGCCCGAAGCACCCTATGATGCTCTATTATGCGGAGGACTGACTTTCCTCAGTTTGCGGTGCAGACGAATGTTCTTTTATCCAACTTAGTCATGGTCGTTTCCGACGACTACCCCGAGGCGCATCCAGCGTCGACGCCAAGGAGCGAGATGGACTCACCGACGTCTTCGTACGAACTGTGGCTCCGTGGCCCCGTGCCTAGACCGAGCCTCATCCATCACATGACCAGATGAGGCTCTTCATAGCCTTGCGCGCTTGCACGCTCGGTCGAGGAATCCCTTCCTCGGCTCCTGGGCTGTGGGTGTGAAATTGCCGGCTCGTCGCGTCCGTGTTTAGTGGGGACTCTGCCGCGGGGCACCCCAGAATCGCGATGTGTACACGTCGGAAACATGGCATTTCGCAAACAGGCTGAGAAGGAAGGAAGCTGCAGTCTTGGTGTCTTGGGACGAATTCAGCAGAGCATATAAGATAGTCGCTCGTTGCATCCATCCGGGCAAGCGGCCGTCAGACTGCAAGCAAGGTCACGTCACCGGCATCAGCGAAACCTTAGTCCGACAACCTCGGCTCGTTCCATTCACAGCTCCACCCCGGTCATCGCAGCCAGCGCGTGCTCATCTGGCCTCGGATCTACTGAAAGCTAGGACTTCTGATATCATCTCCTGTAATTTCTTCCCTGGTTACTTCACCTATCTTTCTTTGTGATGTTCAGCAGAGCTGCACGCGCGCGAGTACCCGCCTCCGCTTCGATACTTCGCAGACCACTTTTGAACCAGCCCGCTTTTGCGAAGCCTAGAGTATGTTGTCGCGTGGAGGATGGAGTCTTGATGGGGAGGAGATGCTGACATCTGGCGCGTGTAGATTGTCGCAATGGCTCCAGCACGGAAACAGTCGAGTTTGCCAGCGGGTAAGTGGATGCGCTGCTTTCACATGCTTAGGATGGTTCAATACTGACCACGAGGTCTGCGCAGGCTACAAAGAGGACCACAGCAAAGGTGCCATGCTGCGCTTTGAAGACTCCCTTCCGCGACTCCCCGTCCCCACCCTAGAGGAGACCGCCAAGCGATACCTCAAGTCCGTCCACCCGCTCCTCTCCCAAAACGAGTTCGACGCGACTACAAAGGCTGTCAATGAGTTTGTGGCTCCTGGCGGGCCTGGAGAGAAGCTCCAAAAACGCTTGGTAGAGCGGAGAGAGGACCCCAAGCACAGGAACTGGATCTACGAGTGGTGGAACGATGCCGCGTACATGGCCTACCGCGACCCCGTCGTGCCATACGTCAGCTACTTCTACTCGCACCGCGATGACAGGAAGAGGCGAAACCCAGCAAAGCGCGCTGC